GCGGGAGTGCCGCCGTGCTCCTAAGCGGTGCACTGTAGCAGTGCGCCACGGGGCCGGCCCCTCTAGTGAATTTTTCATTTCAACTGCTGTATTTTTCAGTTCTAGAATATCTATTTGGCTCCTTTTTATAATTTGTATCTCTTTATTGATATTCTGTATTTATTGAAATATTGTTCTCCTGATTTCATTTAGGTCTTTGTGGTTTCCTTTAGCTCTTTGGGTATATTTAAGACAGCTGTTTCAAAGTCTTTGTCTAGTAAGTCCAATGTCTGTGCTTCCTCAGGGACAGTTTATGTTAATTTCTTCTGTAGATGGGCCATACTTTTTTGTTTTTTTACGTGTTATAATTTTTTATTGAAAACTGGACATTTTAATTATTATAATGTAGTAACTATGGAAATCACATTTTTCTCCCTTCCTAGAGTTAGTTTTTGTTGCTTGCTGTGGGCTCTGTTCTCTTGTTTAGTGGACTTCCTAAAGTATTTCCGTGGTCTGTATTTGTCATGTGTGATCTCTGAAGTCTGTTTTCTCTTATCTTGTGTTCAGTTAGTTTTGGCAGTGAGTTCCTTAAATGCCAAAGGGAAAAACCAAAAACCAAAAACCAAAACCAAAACAAACAAACAAAAAAAAAATGAGAAAAGAAAAAGAAATATAAAAAAAAGTGAAAAAAAGGAGCAAAAACCCTCTCACAGTCTTTGAAGATTGTCTGTGTGTTGTGGCACTCCCTCAAAGCTTAGCCTTCATTTCCTGTTTGTATTGAGCCTAGAGATCAAGCAGAGGTACAAGTTTGGGGTCTTTTCAGGTCTTTTTTTTTTTTTTTTCAGGTCTTTTTGAACATGAGTCCTACTCTAGGAATGGGTGGTGCTTTTTAAATTATCTAGTATTTGTAGGTGCTCGTGAGTGCACTAACTTCCCAGAGAAACTCTCCCCCTTGCTTTTCCTTCCAGGCTTTCAGTACTCTGTTGTTTGCCTCAACTGTAATCTTTTGCCCCAAATGGCAACTGGTTGTTCATTTGCTTCCCAGTGTTTTTGAGGAATGCCATCTGCATAATCACTTATGTGTTATTAGTTCAGAGTTAGGTGAAACAAAGGCAAGTATCTTGCTTCAATACTTCAGGTAGCTCCTAGACAGGTTAGAACAATCATAATTCTTTGAGAACAAGTTCTGTTCTGTTTTCTTTGGAAGCTGGGACCACGGTCCCATGCTGTGAACGTAGGCCTCAAGACACTAAGGAGCCAGGGAGGGGAGTGGAGCAAGAGCAAGTAAAAACTTTGCAAAGTTTTCCTACCTTTTCTTATCTTTTTTATAAATAGACTTCATTTTTTTTTTTTTTTTTTGTCTTTTTCGTGACCAGTAAGGGGATTGGAACCCTTGGTGTGGTGTCGCCCACACCGCGCTCAGCCAGTGAGCGCACCGGCCATTCCTATATAGGATCCGAACCCGCAGCAGGAGCGCCGCTGCACTCCCAGTGCCGCACTCTCCCGAGTGCGCCACAGGCTCGGCCCTAGTAGACTTCATTTTTTTTTTTTTTTAAAAGATGACCGGTAAGGGGATCTTAACCCTTGACTTGGTGT